ACCTTGAAACTCACCATATTCCCACTAATACATACGTTCAACAATCTCAGCTTGCTGGAAGTGTGTCCTGAATTGTACCTTCTGGTAATTCAAAATCATTATGAGTAAATGGAGTTCCTTTGCTGGAGGCTGTTCACCCTGACAGGGACAAATCATCCTTCTGGTGAGAGACAGAAGATATTGAGGAGAGGTAAACTCTCAATTACACTGCTCACCCTAGTCACGCCAAGCAAGTGGGAATGCCCAGCAGACACAAGGCTTTAGTCTTTCAATAACTATGAATTCTGGGGCTGGAATATCAAATGTTTTAAAACATAAAGAATTTTTTAAAGGCAGATTTTCCACTTATCACTAAATGAAATTGCTCTCCAAAGAATGCCTTGGGTGTATTTTTATGCTAGATTTTACCTGCTGTAATAAAAATAACTTAGATACATTTTATTTTATTTTTTAAAAAATATTTTTTTATTGATTTTGTACAGAGAGGAAGGGAGAGAGATAGAGAGTTAGAAACATCGATGAGAGAGAGTCATCGATCAGCTTCCTCTTGCACACCCCCTACTGGGGATATGCCCACAACCAAGGTACATGCCCTTGACCAGAATCGAACCTGGGACCCTTCAGTCCCCAAGCCGATGCTCTATCCATTGAGCCAAACCGGTCTCGGCAAAAGAATAACTTAGATACATTTTAAAAGATTGCAAAATTGCAAAGCAATAATACTTTACCATATTAATTAATTTTGAATTATAGCTGAACTCATAGAAGTGCATATGACATTCATGGTAATGCCAAATTAATTCTTTATGATCAGTGCTATTGCAATCAATACTAAATGAATTCATAATGATAAGATACTTAAAATAAAGAGTTACCACAAAAACAATAAAAAGACCATCATTATCCAGGCTATAGCACACTAATAAAGTATTAGCCCAATAAGCTGGTGCTATCTATGACAATCAATGGCAGATACTTAATTTATTTCTGCTTGCCCTTGTCTTGCTTTTCCTGGAAGGGCTGTGTAAAAGCATAGCTCTTTGATTCTACTGTAAATTGTATGGAGGAAGAAATACAGTAGTCTTATTATTAAATAATTTTGCTGTAGCATTTACTTTACATCGCACCTCTCTGCCAAAGAACTCAAGGCATATGGTACATACCAATTTACATTCCAAATGGATTTCCTCCTCATGAGAGTCATGTTATCTTTTTAATTCTTTTCTTAACCTCTTCTCTCTCTCCCTCTTTCTTTCTTAGAGGCTGTATCATATCTGTTCTCTACAATACATGAAAGAATATATCAATCATGAAGTAAAGAAGCAATAAATATCTTCTGTGCTTCCTCTCTTCCTTCTGTTATAAAAACTATTTTGAGTATTTTTTGTATGTCAGATATATGGGTTTTAGAAAGACATAAAACAAAACAAAACATAATCCTTATCTTTCAGCTTAGATAGAGTCAGGAAAAAGAGTACTGGGCTTGGTATCAGATTTGGGCCACATCTTAGCTCTTCCATTTTACTTGTTGTTTAATCTTTGGCACTGTGACAGAGACATATTCCCTATCAAATTCCTCTTTCTTGGGAACATGGGAAGCTGTACTTCCCAGCAACCTTGCAAGTAAATAGGATTGGGTCACTAGTTTGGAATAATGAATTACATGTAGAAATTATGTGTCACTTCTGAGCTCTGTCTGGGAAACACTCCTGGGAAATTCTCCAGGTCTCTCTCGCTCAACCCATAAAGTGGCCCTGTGTTGAGGTGGTTGAGCCACAAAATGAAAACAATCTTGACTGCTGAGCCATTGTAAAAAGAAGAGCTTCCACACAGAGGTACCCAACCTATGGGTAATTGGTGTAATGGGGAAGCAAACTGTGTTTCTTTCTTTCTGTATTTCTTATTATTGTAGCATGAGCCTAACTTATCCTAACTAAAACAGGCATCTAACTTCTCAGAGCTTCTGATTCTTCACCACAAAATGGGGACAAAATATTTCTTAGCTACCTAATGAAGTTACTGAGAAAATCAAATAAGATAGCCAATGTACAACATACAAACTCTTTAAGTCAGAATCATGCACCACTGGCTTTCACTATCTTGGATCACAGAATTATAACTCCAACATTTCATGAGGTTCGTTTGGCCCTAATATCTGACTACCACAATACTAGGAGATGTGGTTTAATAAAGATTTTATAAAGAGAAAGTGATATGTTGAAGATGGCTAAAATTCATTCTCTGTAATGAGAGTTGTATGTAAATTACCACTCTGAGGGCTTTGATGTCTCTCTCTCTCTCCTGTTTCTCTTCCCCAGACCCTGATGATACTGTTACTCGTTTCTTGGGCTGGGGCTTTATGGGTGAGTTCCACATTCTCTGTCCCACAGTCTGCACCACGATGTCAAATTATACTTAAGCATTTTTGTTGCTAAGCTTGGATTTTGTTAGTGTACTTATTGAAACTATAGTCTTTATGTCTCAACATTTTATACATCTGTTTTAATGGAAAGTTTTGTTTTCTTCCGATAGTCTCTGCAAATTTAGGTCTGATTGTGTTTAACCTACCTTGAGAGCTGGGTCAAGTTTTCTATAATAGATTTCTTCTCATAGAGAAGATGAGCTCTACACAAACGCAACTTTGAGTCACTCATCTATTAAATCAATATTATTATAGAATTAACCTATGATGGGTGAATTCACACAGTTATATAGCCATTCATTTATTCAGTAGATAGTTATCAGGTAACGACTATATGTCAGGCACTATTCTAGGCACTTGATAGGCAATGGTGAGGACAGTCATTTATATCTCTGATGTCATAAGTTTATATTCATACATTAGGAAACAGATAATAAATATTAAATACTGGATAAGTTTAGATTACAGAAAAAATACAATGAATATTAAAGAGCATGGAATGACTGGCTTTTCTGGAATGGGTAGATAACACCTCTTATATGTAATGACATCTGGTTTGCACCTGAAAGGTGAGGGCAGGACTATTTCATTCATTAGTTACTGTTGGCACGTTGCCTACAGCTAGGAGTTTTTCATAGGTCTGTGAAAGTATTTCAGACCTGGGGAAAATGTTATTGGCATTAATCTATGAAAAAAATAGTGAACATTTTTGAAATAAAAAAATGAAATCAATCATGTTTATATAATGCACAGGATTGTTTATTGTAACCAATAACTGCAACTCAAATGGAGAATGATGCTTCTCAACACACCCTTTTATTTTTCTGGCTCAGGGGTGTGGATATCAACATGCACCACGTTCATATCAACAGAGCACTTGTTTTTTTTTCAACTGCATTTGCCTTTGAGAAGCTGCTTAAGCCAGGTTAAAGGATATTCGTCATTTTCCAATATATTTTGACTGTCCTTATGCACGGATTATTGCTTCAATACCTCCTTATATATTCCTAAACCCAAATACTTCGTAATAGTTTATGTTTTTCCCCTTTATGGGCCAAACAAGAACATCCTGTATCCTAACTAGCATCATGATAGTAGGTTCTTGACTTTTAGACTGAAATCCAATTATGTTTGTTTTGTTTTGTTTTGTTTTATCTCACTTCAACATGGCTAGTTCCCAGATGTAAAGGAGAGGTTCAAAGTCATGGGGATTCATAAGAATTTGGACAACCATTGAATGCAAAAGCCAACCACCCCTTCTTGCCTTATCATGAGGCCAATGGTTCATTCCAGAGCTTAAGCTCAGTGTGGTTGCTCCAAACGCTGTGTCATTCACACTTGTTTTATGATAATGTCCAGTTACCACGTAATGAGAAAAATATCTTAAGATAATTGCTTTATCAGGTATGGCTCAAAACGTTTGTGTATGTCATTTGGAGAAGGAGACAGGGCAGTTTAGTGCTTTGCCTGCCAAGCCACAGAACATCTTTGTTGCTTTCTTTTTCCTTTCAATTGTTATTGAAAATAACTAGTCATAATGCCTTTGTCAGCCCTGCCTGGCCTCAGCTCTGTGTAAATCAGGCTTCCAGACAGGCAGAGTTTAGAGGTCCCATTGTGGGAGTGCTCTAGGTAGAGGCGGGATCATGAATAAAGAACACTCACCCTCTGCTTCGGAGGCAGGGGTGAGAGAGCCTGGGAGAGCCCTTCCCAAACATCTCTTTTCAGCACCACTATTTGGCTAAGAGCTTTAATTTCATTAGAAAAACGGGGGCTGGGTTTCCCCATGCATCTCAGCCTCCTTTTAATGTGTAAATTACATAGGATTTGCCACTCGTTACAATGGTGATATGATTATTGGCCTCAAACAGACCACACCGCACAGGCCCCCAGTGATAGGCCAGCTGAGGAGCAGCATGCGTGGGAAAAATTGGATAGCACATGTTTTGTGATCAGAAGCCCTCCAGGAGATGAATTCACAAATGTGAGGCTCCCGCTTGGTTTGCTTAGAGTGCCTCCCGCAAAGTTGAATTTCTGGGTGAATGTGACATCCTGGTAGGAAACGATGTTGTTATGGGGGTGAGAATTACTCAGGGCCCAGAAGTAGTGGCATAAGGGAAAGTTTGTTGGATTTGGAGGCAGAAACCGCAAGCCTGGTTGTTTGACTGAAGACAAGTCACTCAATTCCTGTGAACCTCAGTTTTCCCATTCACAAAATAGGGTAATAAGGCCTCTTCAACATCTGCAGGTTATTAAGGAAGATTATTTTTTAAACTTTGCTATGAATGATTATGCTAGCAAATGTCACTCACATTGTCTCATTCATTCTTTACTATAAGCCTTAGAGGCAGCTGTGGCTAAGCACACTAAAGAAAGTTAGTGCAGCATCCCGCACCCCTCCCCCATGCCTCCAAATGCTCCGCGGGAATATACAATACTAGTAGTTTCATAGGAAAATGTAGCTTAGAAAGTTCTATGCAATATGTCCATGTCTGTTTTTTACCTGTTCTTAGAAAATGACAGCTCACAGTAACACACAAAAAGCCCTGAGAAGCTCCTTATTAAAACAATGATGTTTACTTGTTCCATTAATCCAGAATTTCGTATGAAATTATCTTTCCTCCTCCCCCATCCCAACAAATATACACACCCCGCTGCCAGGACCTAAGTCTTCCTCTTCTTCAGAGGCCACGTCACCACGGCTGGTTACTGATTTGAGGAGAGAGAAGCAGTAGAAGATTCATGTGTACTTGTAAGGAGATACACTCTGTTTGGAAGAGATTGGCAGAACAAGATATGCTTGAGAGCAAATTCTCTATGAGTTCATAATTACATGATCATGATGGCAGGCCCATCCTGGAAGAACTTTGCTGCCATTTAGACATAGTGTGAGAGGAATCTATTATCCCTATCCCAAAGAATTTATTCTACAGGGATGGGATATGTGATATTGTTTCTACTTTCCCCCATTCATTTATTCACTTCATATATTTTTTATATACCCAAATATAGTCCCCATCTGTGGTCTGTATCATGCCAGAAATTGAGACCTTCAGCCACACAAGGCTATTGTCTCAGCAGATTTATACTGATCCCAACTTAAGCACCACTCTCTTAGCAGCTTCTAACACCCCCATTTTACTCATTCCCACCAGCACAAATTGGCCCGGAGGGTAATATTTTACATTTGTTTGTGCTGCAGAGCACATGCGTTTCTCAGAAATATTCAGAATCTGTTTCTTGGAAAACTAGGTCAGAAAGAAGATTGTGAATGTCTCTGAAAGAATAAGTATACAGGCACATTTGTTGGAGATGGTTTCATTGGAAATTCTGTGTTATGAAATAAATGAGAATGATTTCTTTAATACAGAGAATTGAATGTTCATTGCAATTCTCTAAGAGTGTGATAAGGGTAGGGGGAGTGTTGATGGCATGCAACATCTTCCAAGCTGTTTTTTTAGCCTGAGAGCTTTTTGTCCATGAAGCATTTTTTTGACAGTGGCTATCTCAGAGGGTTCTTTTTAGGAAGTGATTGAGATATGTTGGTGATATTGCCCAGTACAGTGCACATAGTAGAGATTCAACAGACGATGCTAACAGCCTATAGGATCAGACAGGTCCCTGCCTCTCCACCTAACACCCTTCCAGTATGACCCATTTTCTAATCTCTCTGTGGCCTGCATTGGTCCTGGGTCCAGGTTCCCATAGTTTTCCTGCTTTGGGAGTAGCTTGTCTCCCACAGTCACCTGGGTTCTTCTCTTTCTCTTTTCCCTAGGTCCTGCCAGCCAGTGGAATGGGGCCAGACCATTTCCAGTGTTCTGTCTATTTTTTTTTTCTTGAATTCTACTCAGATGTGGCTAGATGCTGAGAATGACTTTCCCCCTTGCTTCCCTGGGTCACTCTTTGATCAGAAATTTCAAATATTCATGTGGCCTTGGGTTTACTCTGCTCAGTGAGCTTACAGTGCCCCAGCCCCTCACTCACCTGTCCTGGCCCATGCTCTCCTTACTATAAAGAGCTCCCAATTTGCCACATGGCCAGGGCTTGGTGAACTTTAATCATCTTAGAAATGTTACAGAACTTTGTCTTATAGTGTATGTGAATAACTTATACCTGCTTTATACTCCTGTCCAATACTTTGAACTCTGCTCCCAAGGTATCAGAATGATTCTGTGTCTGTTATATTCATATAATTGATTCTCTATTATTTAATTTCCTGTTTGTTGAGAAAGAAATGCGACTGATATGCATAAAAATTTTGCCATTACTTTATTTTATGCATACTAAGTGCATATAAGTAAGTTTGTCTATTTCTACCAACTTTCTGCATTAGGAAGACTAAATCTCATAAGATTCACTCTTTTGAGAAACTCATATCTAAAATCATGATTCCTTCAATAACACTTGGGCTGTAGTCATTTTAGGAAAAGCTCTGGAAGCCAGTAGAAAAGGGCTTTTGAGAAAGACTAGAGAAATAGACCTCTCTGCCTCCAATGCTTCTAGCAATGAGCCCAGAGGAAATTTAATTGCAGAGCCATTTATATCACACCTGGAACTCCTCAGTTGGATGCTGGAGATTTGATTACTCTGGTTTGTCTGTAGGCTCATCCACAGAGTGGGGTTTCTTAGAGGTCTATTGCACATTCATTGGCCTGACCTTGCTCGTGCACAGACACAGGGGACCTGTGGGAGCTCTGAACCTGACTGGGTAGAGATGGCCTCACTCCCCACCAGAAATGTCAAGACAAATACCTGGATATTGACTTGTTATACCGAGGCCAGTTCAAGAGCAAGAATCCTAATGAGCCACTGAGGAATTAAACCTCTAGAGATTTGCTAAGCACAGTCAGTAAGTAGAAAGAGCATCAAGGAAAGTAACCTGCAAAATCCTAAATAGCTCAAGTTCCAAAATCTGAAGAAATGGGGTGTGTGAATAAAAAGAAGTATGGTTGGAAATTTGAGAACTGTGGTTAGAAGCCATGGCACCAAGTACAGCTGAAGGACCTGCCCAGAGAATACTAAGCTCTGACCTTGGTCTTAACTTCTATAACATCACACTATAGGCAACAACAAACAACTGAATTTTTCCCATTTGCATTCTGAACATTGCAGTGGTCATCAATTGCCAAGTAAAGGCTGTGTTCTGATGCCACTTTATGAATTCTTCATCAAAAACTTTGAAGGAAGTTATATTATATTTTATTATCTTTCCTGAGATCAATGAGTTTAACTTTCAGTCTTACTACATTCTGAATTGCTGCAGATGGTGTAGGTGGCAAATATTGCACTTTTGGTAAGAAACATCATGGATATAAATGCCCTTGTCTCTTTTCCTCAGATCAACGGAGAGCTTCGAGGACAGGATAAATACGCCTCTGCTGGGAATATTGCCTGGGTGATGGACTAGACGTCTGTCTTGGATCCCTTCCACCATTCTGTGTTATTTTGTTGCTGTTTTAATTAATTTATTTTTAGAGAGGAGGAAGGGAGCTGGAGAGAGAGAAACATAGATGTGAGGATGTGAGATTGACACATCATAGGCTGCCTCCTGTACACCCTTTACCAGGGATCAAGCCCACATACACACATACACATGTGCCCTGACTGGGAATCAAACTGGAAACCACTTGGTGCCTGGGGCGATGACCAACCAACTGAGCCACATGAGCCAGGGTCCTGATAACCCTCTTGATTCAGAGCTCCTCACTGTTGCCAACAGAATTAGTTCTGGTGGAATATGTCTATGACGCAAACCTTTCTGCCTATGGGCATAGTGCCTGAAGACTTTTGGTTGAGATAGTTAAGAAGTAATTAAGTTAAACTTTCTTTTCTATGAAAATCTGCTCCTTCTGAAATACTTTCTGCTCTGCACACTTCACTTGAAGGTATAGTACTCTAGTAAATGATAGATAGATGCGAACGAATTTTAGGGAGGGGGGCACCCTTGGAGAGCAACAAGCATCTTTGTGATTTATGGCCTTAAGGGCATGGCATGGAGCCCAGTGGCATTACCCACTCACCTGCCAGGTGATGGCTATTGGGAGCATTGTGGCTACAACTTGAAGCCAATGATGTCAGTCCATCCGTGCACATACAATGGAGCATTATACCACTAGGATGTGAAAGTCTCAGTCCTTTGCATTTACAATCCTAATGAACAAAGAGACAGCAGTACCCTTTGTTTTTATGTGTACATGTATTATTTATGTTTGTTTTTATTTAATTTTTTAAGCAAGCCATACTCTCTTTAAAAAATATTTTAAAAAGCAGAAATGTGTGAACACTAAAACCAAATCTTTAATCCCCCCAACTCAGTAATAATCACTGTTGACAGTATGGCATTTGCTGAGCACTTGAAAGATCAACATATGAACCCATCCTATATATATTACCCTTAAAAACAGAGTAGATTATAATGGGAAATTTAAATGCCCACTTCACAGCAGTAGTGATTCTTTAAATTTTCACTGGATTGATGAGTGATTTTTTCCCCCCTGAAGTACAAGCTGAACAAATTTCATGAGATCCCTTGCGTTACTTCCGGGGTAGGGAAATGATGAGCCCATTCCTCAGGCCAAGAACCATCATTGAATTACTGTTCTAGGATTGCTGCTATCTTTCCACTTCAATTATCAGCACTAGCAGCTGGTTTCTATCCAAACCCACCACCCTTTCTTTTCTTTTCAAGAATTTTTAAAAAAGAAATGGTGCTTTCTTTTAAATAATTTAAATCACTTTGCAAAGTATTACTGGATTTGCAACAATAAAATAGCTTTGTGAAGTGGCTGCTGGTTGGTTGCCCAATTACATTTGTACTCTATGTGAATTGATCCCTCTACCCTAGTGCTGTACACTTAATATTTCAAATACATACATCAGCAATGCAACTCATTTATATGTTTCATGGACTTTGAGTCACTCATGATTAGAAAAATTGCATATGCATATGTCAGAATTTTATAATTTTTTCTCTCAAGATCTTTTCTCTTTAATTGTGTGTGTGAGGTGGGTATTTGTGTGTTGTTATTCCTGCATGTGTGGTATATGCATAGTTCCTGCATAATAGTGCTTTTTTTTAACTTAAAAATTCATAATGGAGCATTCTCCAAGTTTGTTATTAGAATCAATTATTTATTTATTTGTTTATTGTAAACAAACACCAAAAATACATACATCATAAGATCAGGGAACTTTTTGTGTTGTTCCTTGTAAAGTTCCCAGCATCTAGAATAAGTCCTAGCATATCATATATGTGCTTGATAAACATTAGCTTATTGAATACATCAATGACTAAAATACTTACTGGATATACAACTTTTAATGACTGTATAATATTTTCTGATAAAGGTATAATCAAACTTAGTTAGCTTTCTCTTTGTTGTTGACATTAAGGTTGCATAATATTTTTATTATTAGAACTAATGCTGTGAGGAACAAAAATATTAGTTACTAATTTTTGATTTTTCTTAGAGGATAAATTCTAGAATCTATGAAGTCAAAGCAGAAGAATTATGTATAATTTTTATAGCTTACTATATTATGCCTATTTTCCCCTTTAGACCATTAGGATAAACTTTACACTCTCACAGGCAATGAATGAATATGTACATCCTACCACATCCTTCCTTCATGGAATGACTTTCAACTTTTTCACTCATGGAATTCGGAGGCATTCCATTTCTATCATGGATGTTACATTAGTCAAAATATCTCTAGTTACTGTCACAAAACTCCAAAATCTTAGCATAATAGCAGTTTTATTTTTGTGTTCATGGCTCAGTCTACATGTAGCTTGAGTGACTCTTCTGGGCAGCTGTCCTTCAAGCAGGTTCTTGAGACTTAGGGATTTGAACTCCTGTCAATCACCATCTCCAAGTAATTCATTTCCAGAGGAGTGTGTGTGTGTGTGTGTGTGTGTGTGAGAGAGAGAGAGAAAGAGAGGGGAGGGGGGATTCTAGTTTTATGGCCTGGCTAGAAGTTGAGTATACAGTTCTAATTGCATTTCATTGGCCAGAACTCAGTCATGTGGTCCTGAGTACCTGTCAATAAATGCATTGTATTTTTAAAAAAATGTTTTTATTAATTTTTTAGGGAGAGAGAGGAAGAGAGAATAAGAACTAGAAACATCAATGAGAGGGAAACATCAATTGACTGCCTCCTGCACACCCCCTACTGGGGATGAACCCATAACCTGGGCATGTGCTCTGAATGGGAATCAAACCAGGGTCTTCTTGGTCCAAGGGACAACACTCAATCAATTGAGCTACACTGGTCATGCAATGCATTGTATCTTGAAACAGATTCTAAAAACACCTTTTCTTAATTTTTAGATAGTTGAAGAATATAGGGAGCCTGTTCATAAATCTAATGCTCCCAATTCTGATCAAATGATCTACACACTCCATTTCCTATGACAGTGGCCAGCATTTTGCCAGTAGTATTCACATAGTAAAGACAAATAAATAGAACAAGCACCACTCTTGTCAGGAATGTGGTTGCTTGTCCTGCAATTGAGGAGAGATGCTATTTAATTTACCCACCTTTAGAATTCGCTTTTGGAGTCCTGGAACAATGCCAACTTGGATAATTGCATTCTGCTGATCTAAAATTCCCCTGAAGCTTCCTTTGGATGAGCTAGCCTTCATTTCCCCCTCTGCACATCATAGCGTAGTGTTCCTGGCACCCAGTGATCACTCCATTCCACAAAGAAGCTGGCTACATTTTACTACCAGGAAAGCGATCCCTGGGTGAACACGCAGAGTCTACAGATTTCTTTGGTTCCTTAAGCATCGGAAACATACATGTAATAGGTTAGTAAATTGGCGATTTGAAACTCTAGGTGATGGAAGAAATTAGTCATCTCTCATGTTACAAATTTAACTCTAGAAATTTAATAAATCATCTTCCAAGAATATGTAATATCATTTTGACCCAACAAATGATACAGGCCATTTTGTGTTGTTGAATATGAGATAGATCTTGAATAATATCCATGGGATTCTACTACAGTATTCCCATAGCAATATGTTTACCTCTATCAAAATAATAAACTCATAGATTTCAATGAATAGAATTAACCTTTAGCAAGTACTCTTTTTCCTCCCAGGAATATTCATTTTACTAAGTAGTTTACACCATCCCCAATTAAGTGCTTCTGTGTGCTAAAATAGTAAGGACAATATTAATTTTCATCCAGAAATAAAATATTGCTTGGTGGTGGGCGATTCTGTTAAAAACTGAAGGTCAATTTGCAATTAAAGGGCCTTTTAACAAAGTATCAGAATAATGCACTGCTCATCGGGGTGATGAAAACAGGAAAAATATGGCTGCTGAGTAACTATTAAGGTTGAGCTTTAAACTTGTAGAGCTCTTTTATTTTTATCTAAAATTTTTTTTTTTAAATCCAGGCTTATTTCTGATTTACAAATTTCAAAGCTCCATAAGCCAAAGAAGGAAGGTTTTCCTAACAGTAGGTTATCCTATTAAAATTCATCATGATTCTCCTTTCTTTCAAAGGAGTAAACAAGAATCAATTTTCTTCAGTAAAAGAAGTTGGCTGAGATGCAAGTTGATCTAAGACAGACTTGATGAATTCTTAGGAAAGGTTTACAAAATACTGCAGAATCTACAATTTACAAGGAATTCTCTCCTTCTTCTTTTCCTTGGGCAGGGGAAGAGGGTGAGAGGAAATCTGTATTAGGGAAGGAAAGGAAAGCCCCATAGTGCACACAAAAGGTTTTATAGTTCTTAATTCTGCTAAGCCACCGCTACATGGAAGATGCACAGCACTGTAATTATCTGGCCCGAGAGATGTAATTGTATCTATCAAACTAAATAGAACACTGTCAGATGACAGTCGAGATTGGATTGTCTTGGAGGGTCAGGCAGAAACCCAGAGTGACCTCACTCCTCCCTTCTCACCATGCCTGTTTCTGAGTCTTTGATGAGGACCCATTTTGCTAAGCATGTGAAAGCATATACAGTAACAGTGCCTTTTTGCTTGATGCCAACAGCCTCCCGAGAGACCCCACTTGGTTTACTTGGGCCCCGGGGATTAGCCAGCCCAGGCCTCCCTCGTATTTGAAATGTATGATACTGATACAGTGCTTAGGAAGAATCTGTCCTCTGCAACGAACAGATCGTGCCTGGCTCCATAAAGTCTACATTGCATGGAGAGATGTAGAGATTTTATAGGCTGGGTGGAGAGGGGCCAAGTCAGGCTTTTGCTCTGGAAAGCGAAGTATTAAGTGATGAATTAAAGAGTTTGTTTCCTGGCCTGGTCCTTCATACTCAGGACATTTCCTCGGGCTGAGAACATAGACTTGAATGGCTGCGTAGTCTTCCACTTGCGGTAGCGGGAGATCATTGTCATGTCATAGGTGCTAGTGGGGCTATCAGCTGAACGTTTCTCTGCCCTGCTGGCTTTAAAAGAAACAGGCCCCCTCCCCCTTGCTCATGTATAAGCAATTGGAATCTATTTTCATGGAGTTCCTCCAATCAGGATCATGTCCAAACCAGTTTGGATTTTTTGAGCCTTGCAGACTATATTTACTGTGTTTAGTGGAAAGCTTGGATCCCCCGCCCCCCCCCCGCCCCCCCGCCCCACGGCTAAAAAGTGAACCATGATGGTTGAGGCATTCCAGCAGTCCTGCCACATTTATAGAAGGAGACGAGGTACACAGGAGAGATGGGGTTGTTCAGTGAGTGACCTCCTCTCCCCATCCTGGCATGCATCTGCTGTCCTTTGGCAACTTGTTGCCCCTGAGTCATGCCATACCCGTTTTTTTGTTTGTTGTCCGCACTTCGGATGGGAACAAAGCTCAGAGGGAGGCAGGTTTGTCTTGCACTCTTTAGCATAAACAGGCAGGGCACTTCTGCATGTGCTGTGTGTTAAGCTTAAGCAGGTCAACGCCCCTCTGCCTGGGCTTTTGGAAAAGAGTCCCGCATTGTCACATGGAAAGGGACATTTCAGTGCTGACTTTTATTTCCATGAGATTAAAAGTGAAACATGTAACCACAAAGCTGGTTTATGTCATCCCCCTGTCGGAGCCAGCAGTCATGCCAAAAATTAGATATTTGATAGGTTTGAGAGAGAAACAGATGCAGAAGGATGCCATTCCCACAATTTAGACTCCTTCTTATCTTTAAGCTAGAAAGAACATTCCAGAGGAAGAAAATCTATTTTATTGGCTTTAAAAAAAAATAGCAAAAGAAAATGTAGGAATAAAAAAAAATGCTAATTTAAAACTGATGTCATTCTTGGGGACTTCTATAAACTGCAAATTGGTATTTCTAACTAAAAAAAAAAAAGTCATTCAAGACATGCTTACTTGATATTTTCATTTATGCTGCATTTTTTTTTACCCCAATTAGGGTGTTATAATGGAGAGAAAATATCTACGAGATATATTCATGTAGAGCAGTGTGTGAATATAGGCAAGAAAAAAAAAAAAATGGAAAGCCATAAACCTCCCAAAAGCTAAAACAGCCAAAAAGTATTCTCTCAGCTTTTTTTAGGGAAAGCATTTTGTGTCCCATTCTTTTTATTTAATTCTGCCAGCTGTCTGCTAAACAAATCTAGCCAGGTGGGGCTTACAACCCATGACTAAAAAACCTACCAGTGCAGCTGTCCAGCTTGCCCGGAGGAAGAATTCAGACAAATGGCAGGGACGAAAAGATTGTTTTGTTTGCAAGACAGTAGCTACTGTACCTTCCTAGGGTTCAGCTTTTTTTATTTTTTTTTTTAACTGTTTGTTTAAAGTTCATCCACAACTTCTTAAGGTTTTATGATGAAATAGAAAAAAAACTACCCCTTAAAATGTTAATATTTACGTTATAATTAGTTTAAATCTACTATAATTTCCCCTTAAATAAATGCTCCATCTTCCATTGCAATCTGGCACACGAAGTTGTTATTTATTTATTTATTTATTTATTTATTGTTACTGATTGTTAAATCACGCCCCCCCCCCTCCATTTTTTCCCTTTCTCTTAGGGGGGAACAGGTTTTTAGTGAACTGTGACTGAACTTTATTTCCAGATATCTCGTAATTACATATGGAGCCACTTAAAGGTGAAGGCTGGCTTGGCTTCTCTGTGAGCGAGCAGAGGAACAAACAGGCCTCTTTGCACTGCATCACCAGTCGACCTCGACTGTGAATTTCTAGTCAGCAAATGGGCACTTCCGTTGGTGCATTTGAGCAGAGGGAGGCAGGAGCCGCGCTAGCAACAAGCACGTTGCCATCTGATCCACTGATGACAGATCAGCGCCGAAACCTCTCCGTTCCTTCCCCACTTATTTCACATTCATCAGCTCAGTGACTCTCAACTTTTTCATCAAAGCTGTCTAACGTTCTTATAATGAAAAGGGCTGGTGGAGTGATCACTGGTCTCAGTCTCTGGGCCCAGCACCTGTTGGAGAGGTGTGACTGTTCACAGGAAAGTCTTTGGTATGTCGCTCTGTGGCTGATGTCCTCCAAAGAAGCTAGGAACTCAGAAATCTGACATGCGAGGAAAATGCTGCATCCTTGAGCCAGCTGTCTTTTGTGTAGTTTGAAAGAGAATCGAGACTGCATGGGGCAGAGAATGCTCTTAGCAAGGGCACAGGTCATTTCTTAAACTGGTGAGCTTTTTTGGCTAACCCTCAGAGCAGATTTGGCAAGGAGCTAGGACAGTGGTCGGCAAACTGATTAGTCAACAGAGCCAAATATCAACAGTACAACGACTGAAATTTCTTTTGAGAGCCAAATTTTTTTTTAATATTTTTTTTATTGATTTTTTACAGAGAGGAAGGGAGAGAGATAGCTAGAAACGTCGATGAGAGAGAAACATCGACCAGCTGCCTCTTGCACACCCCCAACTGCCTCTTGCACACCCCCTACCAGGAATGTGCCCGCAACCAATGTACATGCCCTTGACTGGAATCGAACCCGGGACCTTTCAGTCCGCAGACCGACGCTCTACCATTGAGCCAAAGCGGCTTCAGAGAGAGCCAATTTTTTAAACTTAAACTTCTTCTAATGCCACTTCTTCAAAGTAGACTTGCCCAGGCCGTAGTATTTTGTGGAAGAGCCACACTCAGGGGGCCAAAGAGCCTTATGTGGCTCAAGAACCACAGTTGGCTGACCACGGAGCTAAGACTACGCGACTTTCACGTTCAGGTGCCTTATGCTGCCAATTAGAGGAACACAAGGAAACAACTATTATATGATGCAGTGCAGAGGCCTGAGGTCTGAGTTGTGCAGATCGCAGTGGTATCCAGAAGAATCAGGTGAAGCCAGCTTACCCTTCACGTTGCTTTATGTCGCCTTTATTTCATTTTGCTTCATAACAAGACATGCACTCATGGCCTGAATGCTTACAGACCCAAAGAAAGAGAAACAACTTTTTCATGAGGAAATTGAAGTGGTGATGCAGAACTAACCCTCATGGTTTGCTGATATTTAATGAAGAAGAAGTGATGGGGAATTTTTGGCAGAACTGGTACAGAGGCATAACAATAGCACACCACAAAAGAAAGTGACATTACTTAGCCCTCGGAGGATTCACACAGGCCTTTAAATGTTAGGTATAAATACATTGCCTAGAGGTGATGATCAAACAAGGATACAGTAAGTAAGTCCTCCCTTTCCCCCTCCTTGCCACCCCTGAAGCTGGTCAGATGCCCCTCATGAAAGCATCCACCTTTGTCCCAAACTCATGCTTCCTTTTAGCAGTGGGGCTTAACTATTGGACAGTATAAGCAGCCAACATATTGCAACTCAAGTAACTTTGTGGTTAAGCAGGAATAAACATACAAAAAAAATTCACGAATATTATAAATACAGCATCATTTGCTCTTAGTGCATTAACTGAGAAAAGAATGAATGTCACTTAAGGAGGAATATCCCAAATACTGTACTGTAAGAAGTGATGCTTTGTAGAAAAAAGTTCATAACATATTTTTCTTTTTCCTTTCTTCCATATTGTATGCATGTGCATATGAATCTGTTCATATTTAAATTCTTTTTAAGTGTATCTTTAAATGTGGGCCAGGATTGCTCTATAATAGTGCAGACAAGCAAATCCATAATACACACATTTTCTATAGATTCTTTATTTTGAGATTGATGAATGGAGATTCAAAAGAATAAATAATTTATACTTGTAGAAGTAGAAACACATATAGAAGTTAGGCCAAGATCTTAGAAATCTTAATTTCCAACTTGTGGTCACTATTATTATGGAGATGGAACACTTTTCTCCAATCTTGTCTCCATGGACAAAAACATCTACAGTGGAACCAGAGGTCTTCAGTACAATAAATAGGATGATTTCCTCTTGCAGACATTCGAATATGATATATCCTTTGGTAAATAGTTTCACAAAACAAATGCTCAAATAATATAGTTAGTTTAAGACATGGCTGCTCCGTTTGTTATTTTACTTCTCCAGGTGAAAGAGAGATATCTTCTTTTGTTGTATGACTTCTGCAATATCTTAAGCTGTTCTCCCAAGGCCTGTATCCTAACCTCCACGGAAATGGCTTCCCTTTTTTGAGTTCTGCCTCATTATCTCAGCATTTTGCTGACTTCTAATCCCTAGGATGGTGAATTGAATCTGAATATTTAAACTTCAAACTAGTTATCCACGGGAGATGGAGGGGTGGGGATCTGCATTGACTCTTTACCACATTTAAAAATAAATTTCTCATAAAAATTGTGGCATGTTCTTAAATTTATTCAACCTAAAGATATACCAAATGGGCCCCATTAATATCATATCAAATATAAATGCACAGATTCCATGATCAGTCCCAGAGGAGCTCACTACAGAAGGACATCCCAAGTACTCCATCCTCTGGTTTACTTGGGCATCTTTTGGTGGTAGCCCCGCCTATGCACAGTGTGCTTCTGTATCATCACACAGAGAGAGTGTGAGGCTCATTTCACAGTGCGAGTGTTCCCAATGCATCACAATTACAGGAACACCTGAGCTTTCTGTCAATCCACTTGGAAAGCCCTGTGTGTTGGGGTAATGACACTGACAGTTCCTCCCATGTTTTAGCTTCTCTCTAGACTCTCTCCTTCCTGCCTCTCTTCTTCCCTCCTCTCCTTGTTCAGCGTTTGCTTCTTTCCCATTCCAGGCCTTTATTCTCTCTTCTTCCCCCCCACCTCCTTTCATTTATCTTCCCTTAGATTCCCGTTCCCTTTGCCGAATTTTAAAAATTGGGCTTTAAGCCAAGGTTTTCCTTAGTGTCCATGTATATCCTAAACTTGAAAAAGTTTTTTTTTTTTTCATTTATCCGTGAAAATGTGGGAAAGAAAGCTCCAATAATGCTGCCTATCAAAGAGCAGCCACATTATCCTATAGAAATCATGCTAATGGTTTTATTTTCTTTTGAACATGTTTCCTGTCTCAGAATAATTAAAATAATTTAAAGAAATTGCTACGAAGACACACAATCCTGCTATTTGGGGTTTGAACCTCTAGCCTAATGTACAGATCTGACTTTGCCCAGCAGTTGCTTATGGAGTCAGAGTGGAGACAGACCTTCCCAGAGATCTCCTGTTGTACTGTTTACAAGGCAGCCTGCACTTCTGGTTTACAGTCCGCTCAGATCCGGTTACAGTCACACTCAGTTCTTTCTTTGGGGATAATGGAATTTAATGAGAAGGAAAGTGTGCTTTCAGTTTGCATTTCCAGAAGGATTTATGGTGAAACTTACAGTATGTAAAAACCACACATTCACCCCCAAATAAGCAAAAGACCCATTCACAGGAACAACACAACGACCCCATCTGAATCACAAAGGAAGAAAGTCTTCAAAGGGTTTGCGGAGGGTTTCAAACATTACAAAATATGTTTCTGAAGCCCACAAGTTCCTACCTTTTGTGGAGGTCCACCTTAAGGTCAGTATCAACTCTGGTGCGCTGATCACTTGCGAATCCCCACGGTGCAACCACGAAAAGGGGCTACATCCGGAGACATCTGTGGACCAGAGGAGCTGGCAGGGACCGCAAGGCTTTCCATTGAAGTGACTGCTCCCAGCCTGGCTGCAGGAACAGCCGACCTGAGGTAACTACTTCCACATATCAGCACCTTGTCAGCGGTGGTCTGAGAGACACACGCTGTAGGCAGAGGAAAGTACCTGCTTTAGGGAGAGCGAGCCACCTACCCTGCCCCCCTCGGTCGTCAAGTCTCTCATATGGAAGAGAGAAAGGAAGCCAAGTAGGAGAAAACGATAGTAATAAAGCAAATTAAGTGCTTAAATTATGACGCTGGTTGGCTTTGGTTATTGGCATTTAACGACATAATGAATTTCTAAAAATTCAGAGCACATGTGGTTATCTAACTTTGAAAGAATGCCGTCTATCTGGGCCGATGGTTCTAAGTGCGCTGTTGCGGCACGCACAGTGTGATTCTTTGGGAAGTGCTTCATAAGTAAGTTGTGATTAATAATCATTCACAAGTGATTTACTTAAATATAAATTAGAGCAGAGGACTCAAGGCTACTCCTATAGTGCTTTCTTTTCCCCACTCACTGACATTCCCATTTGCATTCTTGGGTGAATAAGATGGGGGTGGAGTGACAACTAATGACCTGGGGATTGTAGAATCCTGAATCGTCCAAGAAACCAGGTCTCACGAGTGTTTTGCAGTGGGAACGAAAGCCAAACCCTGAGTCCATTGCTTTGGGACTTGAGTTGCTAATATGCTTTCTTTGTCCCTGCTCAGTTTCACTGTAATCATGACACAATAAGGAAGAAGACCTGTGATTTTGTTAATCACCTAATAATAGTCATGGACAAGGCCTCAGGAAGTGTCCAGTTGCTTCTTTTATGGGCTGGATCGCAATGAAACATGCCCCAAGTTGTCAGCAACGAAGCATCCTCCTATCATTCCAACTTAGATACAGAATGTAAGGGGCAGGAACACGCTAATTTTATTAGGGAGAACTTGTCATTGAATCTACAATGTGAGAGCCGTGCATGCTGGGTGCAGCAGTTGCTGTATTAGAGATGTATTATGATAAAAGCTTCTCCTTGTTAAAGTAAGCTCAAAATTGGTCTTGGGGTAAGCAAGCATTGCAAGAGTTTAAAGAACTTTAATTTTATTGGGCAAATTCAGCACCTATATAAATTATGGGCTGACATTATATATATTTGAGTTACTTGTCTAATGCATCTTTTCTTTTCTAGAAAGTAAGCTCTAGGAAGACAAGCATTTCACGCTTGCATTTATGTATGCAGCACCTATAACAGAATAAGAACACCCAGCATGCAATTGATGGTCAATAAATACTTATTGAATAGATAAATGTGTTAAAAAGTCTTCTATTTCTCCCCAAGAAAGGTCAGCATGATATGCTCACCATCTCACCAGTGCCCCCAATAATATTTTTCGTATTTTACTTTTTACAGAACTATTCATGAGAGGCTGATTGACATAAGGCATTGGTTTCTATTTTCTTTACAGAAAAAAAAGAAAAAAGAAACAGAAAAATCTGATATCATTTTCACTAGCCAACATGATATTTCAGGTTCTTGACTCATTTGGCAAAAGAAAAGCACAGGTTGAACTGTTTAGGAAAGATAAAGGATCCTTTTTAGAATTTTGAAGACTGGGGCTTTTACACATGGTTTCAAAGTTGATTGAGCACGTAAAGCGCAACGAAGACAGATCCTGCAAAAGCAAAGAAACCCTATCTGATGAGTGCCCCAAGTGTGAACACACCACATCATAACCATGTGGAAATAATAGCCTCTATCGGCAACAGAGGCTCCTATTTAACGAGAGCAGTGCCATTGTTCTTGAAAGTCTAATTTGGTAAACATCTTACGGTGCTGACTCACCAGTACGGAAAATCCAATAATAAATCACCACTGTGATTTAGCAATAACGCTGGAATTCACATCACGAAGTGGGCTACAGCATCCACTGAAACTCAAACAGGTCGCTGAAAGGTGCATTTCATCAGCAAGCTATTTAATTCATATCAAAGGAATTTTACCCCAAGTGAGTGGCAACTGGCTACTTTGAAAGCAGTTAACCCATTCGGGGAAATTCGGGGAAATGAGGTCCCTGAGTTCTCCATAAAAAGGTAATAATCTCTAATCCTGGATGTTTTAAAAGTCGTTTCCTCCAATTCCATAGCAAACAATGCAAAAGAACAGCCCAATATCTTTGTGTCTTAATCGTGTTTGGTAACGAAGCCCTTTAGATAACTGGCTGTGCTTCTGTAGCAGACCAAACTTTCTTTCAAGTTACAAACACTCACCAAAGGGTTACATTATAAGGGACTTCTTTGGAGATGTGCAGATGTAGTTTGTTAGTACAAAGTGAACATGCAAATTGCCTTATCTTGTGGGATTCACAAACAACCATCATTCAGATTGATTTAATACGTGGTCTTTTATCTTTAAAAGTGTTAATTAGAAAATAGGGACAGTTCTCTGAACACTTAAGAGTAATAAATAGATCAAGCCAGCATCCATGCTTCTGTGATGGAACTTCTGAAGCCTTTGTAAAGGCATTAATGCGATTGTCAAAAAGACCACAGTGTACATATTTAATAGTGTTACCAAGCTACAATTACAATTTTAGAACTTGACTGCTGAGTTTTTCAATGTTCACCACCTCAAAAAACTGAGATTCTGCACAACTCGGTTCAACGTTTTGAAGTTACCGTCTTACTTTAAATTTTTCCGCCTTGGACCTGCAGACACATCCTTCCAGAAGAAGATTCTAATATTGCAAGCAAACACCAGAAGTTATTCAGCAAAGACTGGGCTGTAGAATCACACAGAGTGAGATATTAGGGAAAAAAATAATTATGAGTCTTTCAAATTAAAAAGATAAAACTATTTTGTCTCTATTTTGACATTTCTCTATAACGTGACAGTTACATGTATGTGCTGAGGAGTCAATATTGGCTCTGCCTGGCTCAGTGACTTCAGGACATGACATGACATCTCTGTGCTTCACTTCATCTAAAAAATGTGCAAAAGCACAATCCATTTCTCCTTGGGTCTTATGGTGAGGATCAACTGGGACAGTGTTGAACAGTGCCTGACACTTGAGTAAGGGGCCTGCAGGTTACCATGAATCTAGGTGGTGTTTTTCACTCCGGGTAGCTATATGGTTATCCTGTCATCATATATAAAAATACTTGTGGATGCTTCTTCAAATTTATAAGGCAGGCAAGTTGTCCTAGTGCAGGGCAAGGGCCCTTGGCCTTGGCATTTCCAGAGACCTTGACTTTCCTTCCTCTTCAAGAGAAGGACTTAAGGAGCCACAACATCTTCTGAGCCACTTCTATTCCAGTGCCTCTGTCTGTGTTTTATTGTACTTTCTCTTGATTCAATATTTTGATTGAATGAATTATACATATAGGTGGCAAAACAGTCTAAAAGTATAAAACATTATACAATAGCATTCGTTTGCCAGAAAACACAGTTTTTAAAATTTATCATTCCAGAATTTTTTTCTTTGCATCTTGCTTTGTCTTTTTTATGTTTTTCTCTATGACCCCTTTCAATTCTGTACACTTGTGTTTCCTTTTCCTGACCACATGCTCTAACCCACTTGCCTCATCCAATCCCTTTTGGACCAGAGAATCTCAATCCTTTGACCTTTGGCCTCTTGAATTGTGACGTGGCCCTGGTTTCCTAGTCAAAGGGCCCTTCCCTTTTTCTTCTCTGCCCGTGATCAGTCCTCCAGTCATGCACCTGCTTTGCAGAAGCACTTCAATGTCCTCCTCTGCTTCTGCCATACTATAAAATCCTTTTCATTAACTACCTTATCTACTCCCTCTTCTAGATGACTGTAGGAGGGCAAGTTATGAAACTACAGTGGTCACTATGAATTTTATTACTTATCCTCAGCTGTGTCTTTCTCTTATTTACTTCAATGGCACTGAACTTGTTTGAGCACACATAAAGGTCTGGTTATAGAATAAGTACTATCCATACGTTATCTTATTGAATTTCTCATTAGTATCTTTCTAATACCAATCATAAAGGAACCATTATTCTCATCTATCAGATGAGAAAACAGGTTTAGAGAGATTAAGCATTCTGTCTAAGGTCCCATAACTTATTAGTGGATGAGCCAGAATTTAGAACTGTCATGACTAGCTGCTGTGCAGAATGATCTCTCATGGCCTTGCTTTGCTCTGGTGTTCCCCTGTGGATTCTCATTCTATTCTAGCAACCCCAGTGATGCCCTCACCATCACCATCATTAGGTTTGCTAATTTCCTGAGAACATGGAGCCTAATCAGATCTTCCTTTCTCTTTGTTCTTCTCCCTTCCACATCTCTTTGGTCTAATTGTTCCTGATTGGTTACAAGCTAGAAGGATCTAGGCCATCTCCCCTACTCCTGAGCAAATAGAGGCTCCAAGAGAAACCACACTTGCCAAGGCTTGCATGGTGGATTGCAGACAGTATCAGGACTAATGTGTGGGCTTTCAGACTCAGTCTGGTCCTCTCACCTCCCCGGGCCTCTTCTGTGAGGATGCAACTTCAAATGGGTTCTGGGTCTAGACATACTTTGTCTATGCCATTCTCTTCTATTTTGGGACCCCATAATTTCATGGATGATTCCTCTTTCTCTTGGTCCTTCTCTCTTTTTATAGGTGTCTTCATTTCCACCAGCTAGAGATACATTGAAATATTTTTCTGGACCTTAAGTACTTTCCTCAACTTCTTTCTTCTCTCTCTTTTCCTACATTTTATCCCTTTTAGTGCAAAATTCCATCAGAATTAGTTGTTTCCATGAATTTCATTCTTTTTTTTTTCCACTCCTTCCTTTATGGATTGCAATTTGGCTTTCACACCAGCTACTATACATCCTGGTTGAACCCATAATTTCTGAAGGCACTCCTATGCGTTATTATACTCAGCTTTAATCTCTGTAATCCAAAAAGTCTTTATAGCTGGAAGAGCTTTCAGGTTTAAACTTGCCTCAGATTTCAGAGACCTCCCTAAACCTAGGTAGAAATTTTGGGACCTCTAGTCCCGTGCTCTGAGATTAAAACAAGTTATTCTTTTGTGTTGCTGCTAATCCTCATCCAAGAATATTTTTCCATTGATTTTTAGAGAGAGGAGAAGGGAGAGGGAAAGACAGAGAGTAAGAAGCATCAATGATTGGTTGCCTACCATATATGCACTGACCAAGGTCGAGCCTGCAACCAAGGTAAGTGCCCTTGACTGGAATAGAACCCAG